GGCAGAAACGCTGCAAATAAAATTAGGGCAAAAAACGAAGTTTCAAAATTTTGACCTCGTTTTGGGCGATTCATGATAACGATGACCATCGAAAAAAAATTTTTATATTTGAATTTTTTTCTGTTGGTTTTGAGAGGCTCAGAATCAACCAAAATAACGCTCGGAAGACGGCAGAAACGCTGCAAATAAAATTAGGGCAAAATACGAAATTTCAAAATTTTGACCTCGTTTTTAGGCGATTCATGATAACGATGACCATCGAAAAAAGAATTTTTTTTTTGGATTTTTTTCTGTTGGTTTTGAGAAACTCAGAATCAACCAAAATGACGCTTGGAAGACGGCAGAAACGCTGCAAATAAAATAAGAGCAAAAAACGAAGCTTCAAAATTTTGACCTCGTTTTTTGGAGATTCATGATAACGATAACCATCGATAAAAAGAAATTTTTTTTTTAATTTTTTTTTCTGTTGGTTTTGAGAGGCTCAAAATCAACCAAAATGACGCTCAGACGGCAAAAACAATGCAAATATAATTAGAACAAAAAACGAAATTTCAAAATTTTGACCTCGTTTTTGGGCGATTCATGATAACGATTGATGCCGATTAACTGCAAATCTCTCTAAGCTAGAATTCCTGCTGAAGAATGAGGCCAAAATACGAAACGTGGCTGTATTATTTTTGGTTTGAAGAGAGTGATTTCCAAATTTCCAAATTTTCAATTTTGCATTTCGCGCAGGTGCTTTCATTTCCAAATAAGGCGCAGCGCATTTCGCGCCGCTGTTTTTCTTTCCAAATATGGTGAAGCGCTTTCGCGCATTTGTTTTTCTTCGTTGATTTCAATTTCGCTTCAACAGCCACGTTCGCTTCGAATTTTATCGCAAAAATTCAATTTTATCAATAAGTTCAATTTCCAACTATGTTGCCATATCCCTTATCGATAAAAATCCTTTTCGTTAAAATGTTTACCAAAGCCAGTTCCATATTCGTTGTCAGTCCATTGCGTGATCGTTGTCGTTGAAGAAGAAGTCGCCGCCATTGTTGAAGCTGCAGTTTTGTCGGTTTTGAGGAGAATGGTCAGTTTCCCCTAAAGCGAGCCAAAAAGGTGTTCAATCAATTTTGCCTACCAGGAGCACTTACAGACAGCGCCATCCCGAGGAGCACGGGGTCACACTGTCAAGCCGCGCAAAGCGGAACTCAGCTAGAGGATGAAAGTATCATGCAACAGCTTCGAAGTAGTTGAAGAAGAATACCAGTTGAATAGTCCAATTGTCGAGAAGATGTCGTCGTTTGAAATCATAGAAGAGTCAGCTTGATCCATCAAATAATATTTACCAGAGCAGAATATTGAAAAGAGATTGTGAGCACTAGAATTTTTTAACAAAAACCGTCGAAACGGGTGGCTAATGTGCCTTTTGTGAGTGTGAAATAACGCGTACGTTATGAAAAATAGAGATTTTATGAACTCATGCATTATCCGAGATTTGGCTCCAAAATCATCAGAACAATTTAACCGTGAATTTCATGCTCGATCAACCTAATTGGCGTAAAATAATTTGTGAGAGATAAATTCAATTTTAATTTTTATTTGTCTTAGTTCTTTCCCGTATTCGTATCAGTATGACCCGTCATGGGTTTCTTTTTTTGGTGGAGCATCTTTTTGGGCAAGAACAAATTGAATTTTAGATATCAGGTCCGAATATTAGTTCATTGTTTTTTTTCGGATGATTCGGATATAATTTTTCAAAAGCAGTTGTGATAAATAATATCATTTCCGATTTGTTTTGCAGACTACATTTAGGCAAGTTATACTCAGCCATAAGAACTTTGAGCTCAGACTTTGTCAGATCAAAAAGAGTTTTTTCCTTTTTCAAATTTAATATTGAAAAGAATAATAATTCGCCGCATGCATTTTTACGCCAATTAGGGTGATTTTTCCAAACATACTCTCTGATTTTAATTCTTAGATCTGAAATTGTTTCTGTCGTCAAGAAATCGACCTCAAACTTATGCAAGATATATCTTAAGGCTTCTTTTGTAAGTTCTCCCAACTTCAAGATGCACCCGTTTTCTATAACCATATCCTCCCTGATTTCCTCAACTCTCGCTTCAATTCTCTCGAAAAAATCTTGATGCTCATTTTGAAATTTAAATGCTATTGAAATATTAAAATTTGGCTCACAATCCATCTCCGAACAATTTTGAGGCTCCTCGCTAGCTATTTTATCGGCTTCTAAATTTGGAATTTTAGAGCAAGGAACAGAATCCGCGGATGATTCCCTATCACGTTTCCGATTCGCTGAAATGTCTAATTTATCATAAGAGATAAGCGGTTCTTGATTATCAGTTAAAAAATTTTCGTGAACTGTTTCTGTTTCTACTGTCGAAAAGTCCTCATCAAGAGTTATTTCCCAATGCGAATTTGTATCAATTTCCCACTCAGAATCCGAGGAATTCACAGATCCTACAAATGGAAAATCATCTGGTTTAGGAATAGCGTCGAAAATTACCGAGTTTTCAGGCTCAGTGTTAATATGCTCATTTTCAATTATTGATACACAAGAGCTTTCTTCAGACGAAGATTCCATAGATTCCAGTGTATCAATAATCCAATCTGTGCAAATATTATCAAAGACTTGTTCAACAAGTAAATCAACTATTTTGTCATATCTTTTTTCGATTTCTTTCTCTTCCGATGAAATCGGCGAACTAATACAGAACCCATTCGAGAAAGACTCAGGCTCACAAAAAATATTTTTTTTTGGATCAGAAAAACTGCTTTGAACTTCGGGGAAAATAACAGGGGCCTCAAAATCTTGCAATTCTTCCTTCCTGACATTAAATTTTCTCAAATGATCTGCATGTCGTCTATATTCTTTGTTTTCAGACTCGACCGTATACCACGTTCCCTCTTTTGATTTACTTTTAATCTTGTACGGACCCAGAAAAGCGGGTTTCTTTGCATCAAAATTTTTAATAAGAACAAAATCATCAATTTGGTAAGGGGAGAATTTTGAATTTGAAAATTTTTCTAGCCGCTTTTGCTTTTCTTCATCGATTAAAATTTTGATATCTTCGAAATTAATGTCAATTTTTTGATACGGGGCCCTAAAATTTGGATCAAAAATATCGTGAGTGTTTTTTACACCCATTTGAAGCGAATAAGGGGAAGTTTTAGTCACTGAATGTTCAGATGTATTTAGATCGTGAACGATTTCTTGAAGAAAGCAGTCCCAGTTAACAAAATTACAGCGAGCACGAAGCCTACTTTTGAGAGTTCTATTGAAATTTTCGACTTGCCCATTTGAGGACGGATGTCTTGGGGGTGTAAAATGGGGTTCAATCTTGCTTTCTTTCATGAATTTTTCAAGTTCAGAATGTTTGCGTGCATTGTCAAGAACAACAATTTTGGGAAAAACTGGGTTTTTAAAAATTACACTTTTAAATTTTTCAAGAAAATTTTTTGAATTTCGTGATTCCAAGGGCTCACAATAGCCGAATTTTGAGAAAAAATCAATCATGACCATAACGTACTTATTCCCAAAATCAGTTGGAGGGAGTGTAATAAGGTCGAATCCAAAAACTTCGAATGGTCCGTCCGGTGTTTTAAAAGTCAGAATCGGTGCTCTATTGGGGTGAAAATTCGGCTTGTCTTTTTGACAAAAAGAACATGTTCTAACAAACTCTTTTATTGCATTCCGCATTCTAGGCCAGATATATAATATATACTGTATAGGTATTAGTAGGCTTGCCGCACCATTTTTCTATTTTCCAGGATCTCTGGCCGAATCTAACCAAACTTGCTGGATATATGCATCAAGACAAGCTATGAAAAACTGCACTAGCGGATTTTTCAAAATGAGTGTCCTTGGGGCCTTTTTTGGGTGTTTTTTGAGGAGAAAAATCGCACCAAAGTGATTAGAAGGCGATTAGAAGTACCTGCCTATTCAGTAAGAGATACAAGAGTACCCTTAGGTGAAAGCTAAAGGTCTGTTCTACTTATACTCAGAAATTTGCGTTTGCACCTCGGACTTATCAGTAGTTTTTTTCGCTTCAAAGTTTACTGAAAATGACAGATACGAAATTTCAAAATTTTCAACTTTTGAAAAACGCGTGCTAGAATGACGTTCTATAGCTCAACTTGAAGCTTATGAGTTACTGAATCCACTTGACCGGTTTTTAAGGTACCAGCTGGTCATTCTAGCGGTTCATCGCGGTTCATCCCATTTTTATTGATTTTTTTTATAGAATATCATAATAAAATATAAATTTTTTAAAATAAAAGCTTTTTAGGGGAAAATTTTTGACTAACCAGATGGTTGATAAGGCGGTTCATCGCGGTTCAAGCATCTTAACTGTCCGAAATATGGCAATATGTATACCAAATGACTTCTTATCGTATAACCGATCTTAAAAACAAAGAAAAAAGATAACCGCGTGGTAAATTTGGCGGTTCTTGGTGGTTCATGGCGGTTCAAGCACTTTTAAAGTAAGAAGTCCGGCATCATGTATATCAAATGAACTCTTATCGAGAGACAATTCTTTCTGACCAAAAATTATGCTATACCGTGTGGTTAATTTCGCGGTTCGTCGCGGTTCAAGGCGGTTCGAGCACACTTTTAGTCAGAGAAATGGCAATATGTATATCAAATGAACTCTTATCAAGAGACGATTCTTTCTGACCAAAAATGCTGCTGTATCGTGTGGTTAATTTCGCGGTTCGTCGCGGTTCATGGCGGTTCGAGCACACTTACAGTGTAAGTGTGGCAATATGTATATCAAATTGATTCTTATCAGAAGATTAATCTTTTTCACCGAGTATTATTCTGAACCACGCGGTAAATTCTGCGGTAAATGCACTGTAACTGTCAGAAATGCTCCAATATCTATATAAAATGGATCGTGACTGAAAAATAAATCTTAGGCTGCTTAGAGTAAAGACACTTGAATCTTCTTGAATAAAATGGCAATTCAATTCAAAACCGTTTATTCAATTGACTTGTTTTAAGGCAAAAGATATTGTAATTTTATTTCTTCCTCAGCTTTACTGTCTTTTTTAAGCTGTTCTGATTTTGAACACCAAGCGCGCGTGTACAGATTTTTCTTAAAGTCTATTTCTTCGTCGTCAAGCCATTTGCTGGTTTTGCTACGAAAAAACATTATAAATTTCTTACTTTTAAACTCCAAAAAACCTTATTTTGAGAGCTGCCGATCGATAAATATTGATATTTAAACTCTTTGTATCGACTCGCTGTCTGGCTTTTAGCGTTGAAAAAGCAGATTCAAGAAGAGTGTTGTCGCTTAGTATTACGGAATTGTGTTCAATATTGAGATTTTTCCACTCAGCATGATCTAGTAATAAAAATTTATATATATTCAAATGAGATCAGAATTTCATTACTCTGTACCTTTGAATAGCTTTTTAAGAATCTCAGATGCGTTTTCGTGAATTTCATCATTCATGTACTTTTTCTCTTCTTTCGAAGCTGCTTTGTATATCGCCTTTTAAAAAGAAAAGATAGAAATTATTGAAAAATGCTTTTACCTCAAGATTTGGAACGCTTTGTTTAGTGTCGTCTTCTAAAAACTGATTTTTTTAGTTTTTTTTTTTAAAGTAATTGTATACCTCAGATGCTTTGATCAATGCGTTTCAGACGTCAGACATTATTTTTCTCATGTGATTTTTTCGTCTATAAAATCCGCGCCGACTTCACATATATTAAAGAAATTCTTTGTGACAAGAGAAATAAACTACAAGAGAAAGTTTGAAGAGAAACTGTGATGCTTGTTTTCCTTTTTTTGTTCTGCCGATTCGTCAATTCATGTCAAAAGCATGATTCTTATGCTTATCGATATGAATTAGAGCAAGATATTTCGGACATAGTTCCTTTACTGAAGGATAATGGAACAAAATTGTCATTGGGTGACACCCTTTTCCGTGCTTATAATTTCCTAAGCGGCTTTGCTTATGAAAATTTTGCTCTCCACGATCCCCCGAGATGCCGTCAAGCCATTGGTTTTGACCTTCAATTCCCTTCTGAACGTAAGTTTATTTCATAAAAATGTAAATAATGTTTATAAAATATTTTTTTTACTTATAATTTCTATAAACTAGTTTCGGACAAACATACGAGGCAAAAAGAACATCCTGGAAGAATCGGCTATAGCTGGGCTTTGGGTGAAAAAAATCGAAATTTGAAAAAAAACTTTTTTTTTGGAATTTGATCTTTTTCTCTTCACCATTGAATTCTCCGTAGTCGAAAACCTAGGAAGCACGTTGACATTGTTCTGAGACGCATTCTAGAGCGATAAGAGCGGCACTTCAAAGAGCCAAAACGTGTTATTTTAGGATATCTTTTTAGAACCCTTAGGGGATATATATTAAGCTCATATTTTTTTACGCGTAGGTAATGCATATTTGCTCGCCTATTTGGAATCAAAATCATATAATTAGTTATTCTTAATAGTTAATTAATTATTTAAAAATAATTTTGATTACTCGTTTTTTTCCAAAAATATCGCTTTTTTGTGAATGATTATGCAAGATAGTATTTTTCGAGGACCAGATATGGACAAATATGTTTGTACCAGATGGTTAACCAGGCGGTTCGTCGCGTTTCGTCGCGGTTCAATCATCATCTCACTAGAAACACCTGTTTATGCATATCAATCGTTCTGAAATCAAATAATGAATCATTAAGACTTAATTCTATATGATATAGATAGATATATCTATAATATATATATATATATAGATCTATATTCTATATGTATAGGCTATACTGGAAAGAACACAAAAAAAATAAAAATTGAATTCCTTTCTTTCACGGCCCGTTTCGTCAACTTGGATAGATTTTTGAATGAATACACACAAAACCGGTTAAACATGGATTCTTGAGCCAATTCCGTGGATTGCTTGCATGAGATCATCACAATCAAAAATACTGTTATTTGTTATAACGTACGCGATATTCACATCATCAAAGGCACATTAGCCAGCGTCATTTGGCGTTTAACTCTCACAAATTTTAGGAAAGCATGAACATTCAAACGAACCAATTATTTTCTTATATTTTTCTGAAAATTATTATTCTGGTAAATATTATTTCTTCGACGATTCTGGATTCTCCTCCTTGATTTCACAATTCGACTAATTCTTCTGGAAACTCTCATCTACAATGGAAAGCTACTTTTTCTTCTTTGATTTCAGTTGGACTGCCGTATGTAGCTCATCCCCAGCCGAGTTCCGCTTAGCGGCTTGACACTGTGACCCCGTGCACCGCGGGATGGCGGTGTCTGTAAGTGCTCCTGGTAGGTTTTGTTGTTAGAATCCCTTTTTGGCTCGATTTAAGGACGACTGGTCATCTTCTTCAAAAACGACAAAATTGCACTTTCTTCAACAAAAACGACAGCTTCAACTACAACGACAACGACTATGCCTGGACTGACAACGATTTGGACAATGGATTTGGTTAAACTTTATTTTTATTTCTTATCAGCAGTGATATGGCCACATAGTGGGAAGTTAATCTGTTGATAAGAAAGAAGAATTAAAACATATTTCAACATGGAAACTGCTGCTAGCGTCACGTGATTGCGACTGTGTGAAAAACAAAACGAGGACAACAATTGTGCGAAAAGCGCTTCGCCATATTTGGAAATGAAAATAAGCGCGCGAAATGCGCGAGCGCCTTATTTGGAAATAATTGCATCTGCGCGAAATTGAAATTGAAAATTTTGAAATTTGAAAATCACTTCTCTTCTTACCAAATATAATAGCAGCGTTTCCGAATTTCAAGAGTTTTTCCTTCGCAAGTTGCAGTTAGCTTAGAGAATTCATTCGAAATTGTATCACACACCTCTTCAGGCAAGATACCACAACGCGCTACTAGCCTCATAGTGAGAGGCGCTGCGGAGCCACGCGCTGAAATCAAAAGCGTTTAAACTGACAAATATAGAACAAGGAATGCCATTCAAAGTAAAAGGCGTTTTTATTTTTTGATTTTAAATCAATTAATTTTAAGTAAATTAACTTTAACCCTAGCCGGCCAAAAATGATTTTCCCCGGGTACCGGCCAAGAGGCGCCAAATATGGCGCCGCGCGGCTTTTTTAATAGAAATCATCAAAATTTTTCCTGAAAATTTTTATATTAATTTATTAAAAATCATTTCTATTAATGTAAGCATGGATTAATCGTGTCAATTCCAAGAAATTATGAGTCCGAAAAAATTTTCTTGCTGATGATCATTGACGAGAAAAAAGTCAAAAACTGATTTCGGATAAAAAACGCTAAATAATGCTTTTTTCTGTTTGTTTTCCAGATGAAAATCATATTTTATCATTATTATGACAAAAAACTAGTTTTATAACATCTATTTCGAGAAAAACTTATCGGCCCGCTGCCGAGAAAAAGCTCGGGTACCGGTCAAAGGACGCCATATAGGGAGTATCTCCTTTTATTACCCGGCGCCATATATGGCGCCTTGAGTTCTCGTGAAAATGAGGCTCTGCCAACATTCTGGTCAATCTGAAACGGATTAAAACCCCTCCCAGTCGAAAGGCGATCGAAAAATACTCCTCAAAGTGAATTTCAAATAAAATTTTTTTCCTCAACTTTTGAAGCTAAATGCGATCGAATGACCCATGATTTATGGACCATATAGCAAAGAATACTCGTTTTTGGGACACCCTTAAATGCTGTTTCCATAATCCTACAAAATACCGATGGACTATTCTTGGTGCCCATCGGCATTCTTTTAAAAGCGAATTGGCCAAATTCACAGCTAAATGCCGTTTTTGAGATTGATTCAGGCTCAATTGCGACTTGATGGAATCCCTTCATCAAATCCGCCGACGAAAAAAATCGGCTTTGTTCTAAATAAGCTAAACTATCTTCGAGGTTTGGAAGAGGAAAATGCTCTTGTTCTGTCGCCTCGTTTAATTTACGATAATCTATAACTAATCTCCATTCACCGGATTTTTTCCTTACTAATAAACAGGGGGAATTCCAAGGGGATGAAATGGGTATAATCATATCATTTTCGGTGTAATTTTTAAGAATTGACCAAAGCGTATCTCTTAGACTAAATGCTGTTCTGTAAGGGGCAGAAGATATGGGAACATCGGTTTTCGTATAAATCGAGAATTTTGTGACTGTACATTCTGGCAGATAATCGCCCTCTTCGAGAAGTAAAAAACAAAATTTTTTGACGAGTTCAAAGAACTCTTTTTTGACTTTTGGATTTTTTATGTTGCCATATTTAAGTGACTTTAAAATTTTTTCGAATTTTTTTGTGTCGCAGGAGAGACGGGCTACTTCTACGGCTTTTTCTAGTTTTATAAAAACGGTGTTTTTTGGGATTTTTATTGAGTTATTTGTTGGGTTAATGACCATTAATCGATAAATAGGAGATTCCGGAGTTATTTCTTGAAGCGAGGGAATAAATTCTAGCTTGGATCCTTCTAATTTAGAATCCTCAAAGAAAACCGAAAAAGAAGAATCAACGTTTGTAACAAATAGATCAATAAGACATTCAGAATTAGGGCGAAACGTATAATTCTCCGTTGATTTTCCTTCAAGCTCAAAATTTTCTTTTTCTATTTCTGTCATGTTTATAGAGGCTAATCTTTGAGTTGGACCACTTAAAATCAATTTTTGGCGTTTTAAATTTATCAAAATTCCATTTTCTTCAATTGACGCGCTACCAAAAATTGAATTAAGATGGTTATTCACTACGTAAAATCTTGATCTACCCCATTTCTCATTTTCGATCGTAAAATCAGCTTCAATATATCCAAGAATATCCACGCTTCCGCCTGTATAATTCACAACATGCGGTAAATCTGACTTTATAATTTCTTGATCAGCGGGAACGAGGCACTCTTGGATAAGATTTAACTGACTTCCAGTGTCTATTAAAAATTTGACCGGTTTATTAAAAAGTGAAATATTTACAAAGAATTGTTTTCCAACCGATTTTGGATTTGAAAAACTAATTTTTGGAACGAGACTTTGACCAGAAGGCGCTCCAACAATTAGTTTCCCGACTGGTTCTGATTATTTTTATTCGGGCAAAATCTGGCAATGTGACCTTTTTGTTTACATTCGTGGCATTCGATTAATCGGCAGCGAGATTTAAAGTGACCATATTTGCCGCAATTATTGCAAAACGGGGTCGGGCGAGGTTGAAAAAAGGGTGGAAATCCATTTTGCTGGTAACCCATTTGTGAAAATCTTGGCTGAAATCCGCCACTGGGGAATCTTGGCTGAAAACCCTGAAATTGACTGTTTTGGGCTTGGAACCCACTTGAAAAATCTGTCGAAGGGGCATTTGATTTCATTTGCATCTTATCCCTGTTTTCCCTATCCACTTCGAGCTTGGCTACAGAAGCAGTGATCGCCGCGAGAGTTTTAGAAAATTCTTCCGCCCTTTTTTCACTCGCTTCCTGCATTTTCAGATTATTCTCATTAATCATTGCCAGCTGTTGTGCAAACATATCGGATGCACTATCCATAAAATTTTCGATTGATTTTTCACCAATTTTCGAGACATTAAGGACAGAAAATCTATCGCGCTTGTCAAGAAAATCGGCAATACTTTTTGCATTAGCATTAAGTTGGCAATGATCTCTAAGAAAGGCTCGGTTAGTTTGGTCGATCTGTTTTTTAAAATGATCCTCGACGATAAATTCTTGTGCGTCTTTTTTGGAGGTTATAATAGATGCAAGACTTTCAATTCGCTTCAAAAAAGACGTGAATCGCTCGTTTGAGTCCGTTCTACGAGTAAGTTGTTCTAGCTCTATTTTTGCGCGGGACACTTTGTTTTCGTCTGATTCTTCCCCGAACAAAGACCGAATAAATTCAAGAGCTTCCTTGGCTGTTTTTTGCTGAGCTAATTCCCTACCATAAATTTCTAAAAAAGCTTGGCTGCAAGAATTTCGAACAAAACCGGTAGCTCGTCGCTCGAATTGAGCGATTAATTCAGTCTCGTTTTCCCTCTTATGATCTTTCATGGCTTGTTCAAAAAGGTTACGAATTTGTCCTATTCTATCCTTGACGTCCGCAAGGCTTATTTCTAGCTCATAAAATTCCATATTTGGCCGTATTAAATTTTGCCCACCAGAAAGAAGACTCGAAAAAAGATATTCCTCAGGCATCTTCGAGAATTTACCTTGTCCGTTTGTAGTCGCCATGATATCGAAAGCAAATGTCCTAAGAATGTCTCTCAACTGCTAGAATGCAAATCACATGCGATAAAATAGAAACTCAATTTTTAATTAAAA